AGTTTTGGAGAATTTATGCATTTGGAAGTGTTCACCTCAGATGTTTCAGATGAAGAATGAAATGCATCAAGTTTAAGAAAGGGGTTGTTGGAAAGTTCAAGAAGGCGCAAGTGGGAGTGCTTTATCATGGTATAGGGCAGATAGCGAAGGCGATTATTGCATAGATGAAGTTCGCTAAGATGAACGAGGCGATGTAGATTGGCAACAGGAAGCCCCAAAAGGCCAATATCTTGAAAGATGAAAAAGGTATTAACAAATCCAAACAATATAGCAAATTCCATGAACACAGTCTAAAAAAGGTTTTAGATTTTTTTAACGCAATCATGATATTAGCCAATAAGTATAAGAAACAAATTGAAAAAGAATGAATTAACCAAATTTAAATCTAGTGATTGGCACTGCAACTTAAATAAGAATAAATATGTACTAAAAGACGATGGTAACTGGAACTGTGCCAACTGGATATGCATTAACACTGCACTCATCGCCTTGATTTAGGAAAATATTATGAAAAAAGAAATATTGAAAAAAATAGATGAAATAAAAATTTAAATGAAATAGATTTTAGAACAAAAAGTAAGAGATATAGCCGAAACTAACCGGAAAGGTTGGCAACTTTAATACTGATTAAATTCCAAAAATCGTCCGGCAAAACACTTAAAGGATTTCCACTTAAATCCAGCACGCAGATGCTTTGTGACAATAAGGAGGATGCAGAAATGTGCGGCCATTCACTCAACTTATTTTTGCTTATGATAAATGTAGTTAAGGTAAGATTTTCTATCTCTTTTGGAAGTATTTTTATTTTATTCTCTGATAGGTTTAGAATTTTTAAATTTCTAAGCGAATAAAGCCTTGAATCAAACGAACGAAGTCCTAATGCGCTAGTATTCAATTCTACAAGCTCATTAGGAAAGCCTTTGCCGACAGGGTAGTCTCCTCTATGGGAAATAGTTAACTTCTTCAGATTTCCATTAAAAATCTGTCAATAAACATATCTTTCGGGAAATAAATTACGTTTGAAGAATATCGTGAAGAAACACTGTTTTGAGGAAGGAAATTACCCATGGATATGGCTTTGAGGGCAAACACAAATTTTTCCGCTATGCTAACGTCAATCTAAAAACATATAAATGTAAAAGGTACTCACATCAGAAAGCAGAATTAACCTATCAGGTACTTGTAATTTAAGTGAAACCGAGCCTGCATTAGAGTTTTTGGTATGAAGGGCGGCTATATTGTTTGATAGCTAGGAATAATAAGGCGATGAGCCCTTACCAGCATTATCTGAGTTATTTTTTGCGTCTTAGATATGATCTTTAAATAATACTTTTGCTTGTCGTAAAAAAGCAATATCGCAGAAAGCTTATATTTTTGGCATCCTGGAGCAGACAAAGAAGGGGAATCAATCTTCACCCGACACAGGAACTTCATCGGGATAAAGTAGGCGGGTATAAGCAATTTAGCTCGTAATCGGAACTTTAAAATATAAATATAAATAACTAATATTTTTTATAAATTATTCGAATATAAATTTTAAAAA